TGTAGTCTTTTCAGCCGATGGTTATTAGGTTGGAAATGTATAATTCAAGTATTTTTCAGATTGTATCACATTTAACATCAAATGTTTCATGCGTTTAAATTGCAAATTTCAGATCGTTTAAATTTTTTTAAGTCTTCATATAATTAGACATAAGACATTTAAGTTACAATTCAAAAATTCAGTAGACATCACAGCCTTAGAAAAGTAGGTTGTAACAGTAGTAGCTTTGAATTATGACTTGAGATCATGTGAGACCACTTTTTACCCTTGAAACTTCACATCACGGTGTTTTTGCTGTGAAAGTTCATATTTTTTTTTACCTTTACAGCGTTTTGCTGTGAAGTTTTAAGTATAAAAAAGTGGTCTCACAGGTCTCAGGAAAATAGATTGGTCTCACGTGAACCCGACCGTATTGAAGTTTTATTTTTCCATGAATTAGTTTCTAAGGGGTTGCTTGTTTACCTTTTAATAGTTCCATTAAGAAGCAACATCTGAATCGTTAAGAGATGAATCTTGTTTGACAGAAAAAAGTTTGTCTCTTAATGGTTCTAAAACCCTCTAAATGATTTTGTATCTTAGGCCTCTCTTAACCATTCAACGCCCTAATTTTATTATAAACAAATTACCAAACAGTTATTTCATTTTTCACTATATCATGAGAGCCTCTTAATTATTTTGACCACTTAATCATTCTGCATCAAATCATTCAGCAATTGTCAAACAACCCTTTAAATATTGACAATTTTCCAACTTGGAGGAATATGGTTTATAAAATAAGAAAAAAAGTAGTAGTGTTTATAGCTTAATCATGATTATTAAAAAGCAGCGATTGGTTGTAAATTTGAAATTTGAATAAATTTAATGCCAAGATTTTTTAGTCTTTTGTCTCCCACATCAACTTCCTTTTGATTAAATATCATTAACATTAAAATAAAATTATATCAGTATTTTATAATTATTATAATAAATTAAAGACAAATTACATGATAAAATATCGCACTTTTCCTTGATTTCTATTTTAGGTAATAAAAGTTCTTACCTAAAATAGAAATCAAGTTAAATAACGTTATTTTTTCATGTAATTTGTCTAAATTAACATATCAATTGCTTTTCCTTAATATATCAAAAATAAAAAGTATTATTTTTTATGTAGGACAAATTGCATTAAAAAGTAATGTAGTTTAACTTGATTCTTATTTTAGGTAACGAATTTTCGAAACTTCCATTTTGGTATCTAAGATGTAAAGTTTTAAATATTTAAGTACCCGGATAAACCGGTCGAAGACTAATTTTAAATTAAAAAAAGACTAATATTAGATTAAAAAAATTCATGTCATTAACCAGGTCAACAGATAATACTAAGTTGGATACTACATTACTCGCCACATCTGCATGATAACCGGTTAATGCTTCAACCAGTTACCCGGATACTTATATGTTTAAAATTTTACATCTTAGATACTAAAATGAAATTTTTGAAAATATGTTACCCAAAATAAAAATCAAGTTAAAGTACATTATTTTTTAATGTAATTTGTTTAATATTTTATATTTATTTAACACATATATTTCGTTTCTGAGAAGATAATTATATTTTCTTTAAAAAATATTGCACTTATAATAAAAAAATTTAATTTAATTTCCACCTCTTTTTCTTTATTTTGTTAGAATTAGGAGTAAATATAAAATAAAACTTAATTATTTTTTTAATCTATATAAATTACGAATAAAAAAAGTGTAAGCATTTCGTCAGATTGCATTTGTGGCAGACCAATATATATATATATATATATATATATATATATATATATATATATATATATATAAATAAAAAAGAAAAATAAGTAATTTTCAAATAATTGATTTTAATAATTGCACACATGTTTTGAGATATGTTATTTTTTTATCTGAAGTATATAATATTTACATATGATAAATATTTTAACGTATACGTTTTATTTTTAGTAACGGTTAATTTTTGAATTTTTAGAAAGTCGGAGGATGTTGAGCGTTACTAATAACCCAGATATCGTTGTGCCAACGACCGTTTGGCGTGTGATTTGTTTTATAAAAACCGATACCATCTTTGACTAAATTCTTACGACCACTTCAAAGTAACAGAAGTCCGAGTCTGCAAAGAAGTGCTGAGGTATCTCCACAACATTAGTTTAACAGATAAGAAGGTAGACATCTTTACAAATGATTGTAAGCTGGTCTGGTCCAGGGTTCGATTTCAGACATCACCGAAAAACCCATAAAACACGTGATTTACCTTCTCACGATGGTTGTAATACATATACGATAAATATACTTCACAAAACGACGTCATACCCTTTTTCGCAGAAGAAGTGATAGTGGTTAGGTTAGGTTAGGTCAAGAATGGCTAACCATGGTAAGAGGGAAACATAGAAGGAAGCCAACAATGGCTTGGTGGAAACCAAAAGCAACAATCACCACATACCCTTAACCTAACCCAACCCAAACCGATCCAACCGACCCCGTATAATTAATATTCTATTATTTTATTTTCCTATTATAAAAATATAAAATATAATATAAATTCATAATAAAAATATATATGTGATCACACTTTTGGTCCAACTCGTCGTAAATTAAGGAAGAGTGGACGATTGACTACCTGACTTAACACAATAATTGTACCTTACCCAACATTTAAGCAATATATGACCCATCCTCCTTTGACAATCGAAGCCCCATCATTACATGATCAGATCAGTCGTTTTTATGCAAACAATTCCCAAATCCTGACATCAGAAAGAGGTCGTCCTTTTCTCCGGTTTCAGAGAATAATAAACGTTTTTATCATGTCACGTTCTTTAATTCTGATCGATCTATGTAAGACCAGTAAAAATAAAATGGAACAAAAAGGAAGCAAGTAGCAAGAAAGAATCAAGAAATCGATGCACGGTTTTTTATGGTTTATTTAAAGTTGTGATATTAGTCCTTATACTTTTTAAATTACGATTTTCATCCTTATAATTTGTAATTTATTGTTGTTTTTGTCATTGAGGTAATTAGTTACAATTAAGTATGAAAGATTAAAAAAAAACAATATTTTGTAAATTATAAGGATAAAGAACAATTAACTCACTACAAAAATGAAGAGTATCAGCGAGTGAAAATTCCCTCGCTGATCCATCGCTAAAGGGGTCTTTCGTCGCTGATCGTTCGTCGGTCAAAAGCTCGTAGGTAATACTATCAACGACGGATCAGCGATAGAATCTTTCAGTGGCGGATCAACGAAGGATTTTTCAACGAAGAACTTTTAGTGACGGATTTTTCCTCGCTGATTTGTCGTTAATTTTTAATAATTTAAAAATAAATAATTTATAATTACATAATTTCTATATTTATTTATATAAAACCTGGTTTTTCGCCATTCCCTCGTTGATCATGTTGGTCCCTTTAGGGTCTACAAGATGTGTATAACAGTTTTTAGAAGGGGGGGATAAATACAAATACAGTATTTTTAAATTTAAAATATATATTGATAAAATAAGATCAATACAAATTTTACAAAATTGTTTGCGGAAATATAAGGTAAGAAAACCTATCTAAACAATCTAAAGTTTACACACTTAGTCTTAGCAAACAAGAAAAGATTTGCTATTAAAGAAATAGAGAAAAATAAGTTCTGTCTGGGAGAGAACTTGTTTAGAATATAATAACAAAGATTCTAACTTGCTCTTGAAGATAAGCGTATTTGTTCTTAGATGTATGTTCTTTTACTTAAGCGCAAGAAAACTTAGAGTAAGAATTTTTGTAAGTGTATCTCTGCATGAAGATAAAACACATCTATTTATATATGTTGCATTAAATGCACATTTAATGCATCATAGTAGGGTTAGAACGCGCGTCAATAGTACAAAAACCTATTTATGAGCAAACATCCTTTCGCAAAGTTGGTGGGTAATAGAGTCAACTAGTCGGCTTCGTACCGACGTTTAGAAAGGATATTATGGGTTTGTCCTTTGTGTGTATAAGGACAAGACAACAACAATCGTGCTTAGCAAGCTTCTTTTGATTGCTGAATGCTGGAATAACCTGAAGGTCTCTTCAGCATTCGCTGAGGCATGGACAGTCTTTACATATATGTAGGCAGACTTATAATCACTGAATACCGCTTCAGATCACGTACTCGCTAGCCTTTAATCTTCAGTTTCAGTCTTTGACTTTAACTCAAGGTTTTTTGGTGTGAGTGTTGTCTTCTTGAAGTATTGCTGTCACTGATTGGATTTACAATACAAGTTCTTCATCGATCACTGAATAATAGACTCAGTGAAGATCGCTGGAACTGAGATAACAGAAACATAAAAACTTCGCATAAGGAAAAATAGATTATCATCAAATCATTGAGAGAGAGTACCAACAGATCCCTCACTGATTAGCGGGGGAACTGGTTTTTGGCGATTCCCTCGATCAGCGAGAATCAACAAGAGATTTTTTCCGTCGTTGATATTTTATCATCTAGTAGTGACTGTAAACTATAAGAACGAAAAAAACAATTAATTATAAACTACAAAGATGAAAACTGCAATTTCGAAACATAAGAACGAAAAGAGCAATAAGTTGTAAACCATACAAACTTAAAAGATAATGAATTATAAAATCATAAGAACGAAAAAAGCAGTGAAGTGTAACAATAAGGACAAAAACTGTAATTTTTAAAACTAAAAGATAAAAATAGCAATTTTCAATAAACTAAGGGACTAAAAATGTAGTTTACTCTTGAAAAGGTGAATGGCCAAAACCAACGCCTTTTTCATGCTTAGATTTCTACTTAACAAAGTCAGGAAATATACTACATGCGTATTCTTTATAACCATTTTTCTCTCTCTCTTTCTATATATACATACATATATCTATATCTATAGGTATATCTATATATGTATATATATATATATACATGCACATATATTGAAAGCAAATCAAGGGTGTCATCTAGTTGTTTAATTCTAAGAATTGAGGTTGCCTGAAAGATGAGTTCTCCGACGAAATCACCGGAGAAAACGAGGGAGGAGGAGGAGAAAAAGAAGTCGATAACGATAATATTCCGGTATGCGGATTGGTCGGATAAGCTGTTGATAGTATTGGGAACAGTTGGAGCCATTGGAGATGGAATGTCAACAAATGTTTTACTGGTTTATGTGAGTCGTCTCTTTAACAGCTTGGGTTATGGAAGAGGTGTTCAACAAAAACCCGAAAACTTTATGAATGAGATCGGAAAGGTTAGCATTCTTCAATTCATCGTCATCTTCTTCGAGAACAGAAACGATTGATCTGTTTCGTGATCTTAATTGGTCTTATTCGGGTTCTTTTTCGTGTTAATTTTGTATCAGTGCAGCTTAGCTTTTGTGTACATTGGATTAGGAGTCATGGTGATGGCGTTTTTGGGTAAATTTCTATCCTTTTCTTTGAGAGAGGGGAGGTTCAGGTGTATATATATATATATATATATATATATAGGTTTGATAGTCTCTGTGTAACTGATTTAAAACTCCAATACCCCTTAAATGGAGGTTAAGGGCAGTTTATTAAACGCTTACTTGGGTAAGTGAAAATCAAGTTAAATTACCTTACATAATGAATATGGTAATAACCAAGAATCTTACCCGATAAGAGCGAGACAAGGATCAAAAGTCTTACCCGGTAAGTGAGGGCGACTACTCTTACCACCGTAAATGCTTATCAGGTAAATTGTTGCATACGATACCGTTTTGATGGAAATGATAAGAACCTTTTGTACAATTAATGCAACCCAATAAATTGAAATATTTATGGAAATGATAAGAATTCATTTATTATGATTTAATATTTATGGAATATGAATACGGTTCATTAATTATGATTAATACTTTATATTAGAAAATAATCAAAACTTCTATAAATTATATATTCATCAAATTAAATGGACGGTTGAGATTGAGTTATATTGGTTTTACAAATGCAAGAGGTTGTATAATAACCCACCCCTCTCTCTCTCTCTCTCTCTCTCTCTGTGTATATATATATATATATATATATATATATATATATACACGGTCAATTTATAAGTAACTTTTCCGGTATGTATGTGCATAACATGCACACGTGCATAAAAACCAAAAAACATCTTCGACTACTTGTATGCTTATGTTTATACAGTACAGATGAACGGTCATTAGAGTATTACTTGGTTTTCATTTTTTTTGTTTGAGTCCCTAGGTGGTGCTAGTCTCCTCTAATACCATGATGTATGAAACCATTTCGAATTCTCTCTAAGAGCCTTTTAAAGAGAGGGAAAAGTTCATATATGTATATGTATATGTATATGTATATGTATATGTATATGTATATGTATATGTATATGTATATGTATATGTATATGTATAGGTTTGATGGTATGTATCTAGCCAATGACAGTAGACGATATTGCATACGTAATGATCAAATTTGACGGTTTACGAATGATTGATCTTTGTTTCTTCGTTGTTTTCGGGTATTAATTGTTTGCAGAAGGGTATTGCTGGAGTAAAACAAGCGAACGACAAGTTCTAAAGATTCGATACAAGTATTTGGAGGCGATTTTGAGACAAGAAGTCGCTTTTTTTGATTCGCAAGAAGCAACAACTTCAGAAATCATCAATAGTATTTCCAAAGATACATCTCTCCTTCAAGAAGTCCTTAGTGAAAAGGTAATCACTCCACACCTTCGTACAAAACTAACTCTCTCTCTTACCGGGTAAGATTCTTGGTCCAATAAGGAAATGTGACTTGGTAAGCGCCTACACGGATAACCGTTTAAGTGGTTTAACTGTTTTTGTGTAAACAATATCGTATTGATGTACTGTATGGCACTTTTGTAGGTACCGAAATTCTTGATGCACACATCGGTTTTCTTATCGGGACTAGCTTTTTGTACGTACTTTTCGTGGAGGATGTCTTTGGTAGCCTTTCCAACGCTAATTTTCTTGATCATTCCGGGGCTTATCTACGGAAAATACCTCTTATATTTATCAAAGAAATCGTTCCACGAGTATAGTAAAGCGAATAGTACCGTGGAACAAGCTCTTGCCTCAATAAAAACGGTTTACTCGTTCACGGCTGAAAAGACCATCGTTCAAAAGTACTCAACGATCTTGGACCGGACAACGGAGATGGGTTTGAAACAAGGAATCGCGAAAGGTCTTGCGGTCGGGAGTACGGGGCTATCTTTCGCGATATGGGCGTTGATTGCTTGGTACGGGAGCCGTTTGGTTATGTATAAAGGAGAAAGCGGTGGGAGGGTTTACGTTGCCGGCCTTGCTTTTATCTTGGGCGGACTGTAAGCAAAAATTTTCACTGAAATTCTTTCGGTTAGGATATGTGGAACACCTTTAAATTTCTTTCGAAAAAGCCGAGAAAATGGAGAACATGGGAACTCTCCGCCAACCATCGATTGGTTTTAATCCAACGGTTGTAAATAATAAAAGACAACATCTACTTTTTAAATTTGTAGATTGATAAAGGATTCCGTCGTTCACCATTTTTTGGGGTTCTCTTTTGACCCCCCTCCTATATATATATATAGAGGGAGGGAGGTTGAGCGGAAAACCCCAAAAGTTAAAACTGCAGAACACTCTAATAATTGTTTATCTGTATTACTACGGTATGCATATGTACATATAAGTAATTGAAGATGTTTCTTGACTTCTATGAAACATTCTGAATGCTGGGTTTTTGCAGATCTCTTGGTATGGCATTACCAGAACTGAATCACTTCACAGAAGCATCAGTAGCAGCCTCTAGAATCTTCCATAGAATCGACCGAATCCCAGAAATCGACGGCCAAGACAGCAATGGACTCGTACCCGACAACATTCACGGACAGATTGAATTCGAGAATATCGAATTCACATACCCTTCTAGGCCTAACTGCGTTATTCTTAAAGATTTTAACCTCAAAATCGAAGCAGGAAACACCATTGCTCTTGTGGGAGCAAGCGGAAGTGGCAAATCCACGGCCATCGCGTTAGTTCAAAGGTTTTACAACGCGGATCGTGGGATTATTCGTGTCGATGGCCTCGATATCAAGAAACTACAATTGAGATGGCTGAGGGCACAAATGGGACTCGTTAGTCAAGAACACGCGTTATTTGGAACGTCGATAAAAGAAAACATTATGTTTGGAAAGATCGACGCGACAATGGAGGAAGTAATCGCTGCCGCAACGGCCGCCAATGCTCATAATTTCATCCGGCAGCTTCCGGAGGGATACGAAACAAAGGTCAGCTTTTGAAACTGTTAACGAGCCTCACCTCAGCTTTACTTTGACCATTTTTCTTCGATATATGTTGAAATCCCGCTTCTGTCTTTCTTGATTTCGAAGGTTGGCGAAAGAGGAGCGCTTCTATCCGGTGGACAAAAACAGAGGATCGCAATTGCAAGAGCGATCATCAAGAACCCCGTGATTCTTCTTCTCGACGAAGCTACGAGTGCACTTGATTCGGAATCGGAAAAACTTGTCCAAAATGCCCTTGATCAAGCCTCCATGGGAAGAACTACACTGGTAAACTATTACTACTTTTCGTTATCCGTTAAAATGGTATAAAATAGCAACTTTTGAAACTTTGTTACATAAATTCGAAAATACAAATTCTTCGTTACGCTAAATAGGAACCGAATCAAAACTTTTTGCACTTTTCCTGCTTGTTTACGTTGAGCTGAGGGGTTGTTTGGTTGGTTTTCTATTAAGTTCTGTATAGATAAATTTGTCTATATAGATTAATATGTCTGTATAGATTGTGAAGGTTTTTGTTTGGGAGAGATTTTTGATAGATGGAATGAGCGTGTTTATTAATTCGGATGGACAATTTTGGAAAAAAAGTGGTTTTCTGCATAAAGCTCCACCTAGAAGCTTGCTGAATAAGTCACTTTCTATATTATTAAGCCACCACCAAACAATCATGTATAGTTGACTGAATAAGTTGTGGGTGCAATTAAGCTCATGAAGCTGCTAACAAATGGGACTGAATCTTTCACGTGAACAGGTCGTTGCCCACAAGCTTGCAACAATCCGAAATGCCGATGTGATTGCAGTCATGAGCGAGGGTAGAGTTATCGAACAAGGTTCACACAACGATCTGATCGATGACAACACCGGTCATTATGCAAGGTTAGTGAAACTTCAAAGGCAATTCAGTTCGTTTAATGAGCACGAACAGAACACACCAGTAGCTGCAAGAAGCAGTGCTTCAAGATTAAGCACTTCCAAATCGAGCCCAGCCATGTTCGATTCACCAATCCTGCTGAACGACCCACAATCGTTAAAATCCTCAAACCGCCCTCCGCCTTCGTTTTCCCGACTCCTTGCTTTAAATTCACCGGAATGGAAACAAGGCTTGATCGGCAGTCTCGCGGCCATAATCTTTGGAGCCGTTCAGCCGGTTTATGCATTGACCATTGGAGGAATGATTTCAGCGTTCTTTGTAACGAATCACGAAGAAATGAACACCCGAATAAAAAATTACTCGATAATTTTCTGCTCGCTTTCGGTCATTTCCATCCTCGTGAATCTCTTGCAGCATTACAATTTCGCGTATATGGGTGAACAACTAACGAAGAGGATCCGATTGAAGATGCTCGAAAAGATCTTGACGTTTGAAACGGCTTGGTTCGATGACGAGCATAATGCCAGCGGTGCGTTGTGCTCTAGGCTAAGCCACGAAGCTTCGATGGTCAAGTCGCTTGTAGCTGACCGAATGTCGCTCTTGATCCAAACTGGCTCGGGTGTGTTGATAGCTATGGTTATGGGGTTAGTCGTGGCTTGGAAGCTAGCACTCATTATGATTGCGGTCCAGCCCCTTACGATCTTGTGTTTCTACGCACGAAAAGTAATGTTGTCCATGATGTCGGCTAACTTCATAAAGTGTCAAAATCAAAGCACTCAGATTGCGGTCGAGGCCGTTTACAATCACCGGATCGTGACTTCGTTTGGAAGTCTAGGGATCGTTCTTCAGATTTTCGATAAGGCTCAAGATGGGCCGAGAAGGGAAGCAAGGAAAAAGGCATGGCTAGCCGGGATAGGAATCGATTTGGCTCAAGGGCTAACATTTATCTGTTGGGCATTGGACTTTTGGTATGGCGGGAAGCTAGTCGATGGCGGGGAGATATCGGCCGGGGACGTTTTCAAAACGTTCTTCATATTGATCAGTACCGGAAAGGTAATAGCGGATGCCGGGAGTATGACTTCCGACATAGCCAAGGGCTCAACCGCCGTTGCTTCGGTTTTCTCCATTCTAGATCGCCAATCATTGATCACGAGCAATATTCATGTAAGTAACTGTCATAGTCCTAAAAATTGGGTTTATATGACATCAAAAACGTCTAATTATCATAATAGACTGCTTTACAGGACTTAAGTTTATAGGAACAAAACATGAAGTGTCATATCTAAAAGTGTTGCAATAATTTTACAGGACTGTTTTGGATGTCTTAACAAGTATTTTATAATATTTTTAAAATAAAGCGTCGTATTAACGTCTTATATACGTGATTTTATTGTTCTGTAATATGATGGGGTTTCACGTATTTTAAATCTTTTCTGCTAAATATGGCTATGCACACAGGATGAAAATGGAACCAATGGAGTAAAGTTGGAAAAACTAAGTGGCGGAATTGAAATCAAGAAGGTCGATTTCGCGTACCCGGGCAGACCCGAGACCTTAATCTTACAGGAATTTTGTTTAGAAGTGAAGGCCGGGACAAGCATTGGATTAGTCGGGAAAAGCGGGTGCGGGAAGTCGACGGTAATCGCGTTGGTCCAGAGGTTCTACGATACAGATAGAGGTACGGTGAAGGTAGATCGAGTAGATATACGGATGCTCAACATAGAATGGTACAGAAAGCATATGGCGCTCGTTAGCCAAGAACCTGTCCTATATTCAGGCACGATTCGTGACAATATCATTTTCGGAAAACTCGATGCATCCGAAAACGAGTTGATTGAGGCCGCTAAAGCTGCAAATGCTCATACTTTCATCTCGTAAGTACGATCTGAATTGAATATTTTTAAGCCAATTTTATTGTAGTGATCAGTTTTATGACAGTTTTTAGTTTGCTGAGTTGATTATGATGTGACTGGAAAAGTGTAAAAAGATGCTCATATGAAGGGGAAAAAAATCAAAAGGGTTTCACGTATCCTAAATGACGTTTTCTTTTACGTATAGGTCATTGAAAGATGGGTACGACACCGAATGTGGAGAAAGAGGTGTGCAACTTTCCGGAGGGCAAAAACAGAGGATCGCCATTGCAAGAGCCATCATTCGAGACCCGACAATCTTACTATTAGACGAGGCTACAAGCGCCCTCGATGTTCAATCGGAGCAGGTCGTTCAAGAGGCGTTGGATCGGATTATGGTCGGAAGGACGACTGTCGTGGTGGCACACCGACTCAACACGATTCGAAATCTTGACTCGATTGCATTCGTTTCCGAAGGAAAAGTGGTGGAGCAAGGAACTTATAATCAACTCAAGAACAAGAAAGGGGCATTCTTCCAACTAGCTAACCTTCAGAAAGCATAAATATGATGTATTTATATTATTATAACATGAGTAACTTTCGGTATTTGCGAGTTGTAATCGAGCAATCGTTTGGTAATCCGATCGTGTTCTGATGATTAATATGCAACTTAGAGGAGACAGATGGTTGGAGTTCAACGATCTTTTGACTACAATTCCAGTGATTGTTCCTTGAATGTTCATATCTTTCGTTGTGACATTTTCTCGAACAACGTGTGTGCAACTGTGTGTAATTTGACTAACTTATTAAAGAAATAATGGGTTTATACTTATAAAATAGTAATGAATTTAATTAGAAACCAAAATATAAATATGCACAAAAAACTTGTCTAAAGCCCGCCTTGAAAAAATCCCGAGACGACTGAGCCCAAAGCCAGGTCTAGGCCCTGCCTCAAAGCCTGATCAGAATGATAAACAAATTCAAATACAAAATAAACTTTTAATCAACTAATATAACAAAATACTTAAAAGTATCAGTTAGGTGTTTTTAACGGTCCATGTCTCTCTTTTGAAAATTTAACAGAATGTGTCCTTGTGGTTGTGGTTTTTCACGAGTTACATCCTAATGTTTGTATTTTTTTTTAATGAGTTGGGTCCTTATGGTTGCAGTTTTTAATCGAGTTTGATCTCCGGATGGACTCATAATTTTTTTTAAAAGATGGCACCATTTAACCACCACTTGACAATAAGAAACAAATATAAGAGGAAAAATTCATACGGTAGCACCATTAGAATAAGAAAATGATACTAACATGATTTGAACTCGGGAATGGGTGAAAGAAAAGTCTTGCAAATCAACTCTACCAAATAAAACGTGTTATCGTTGTAGTTTCAAAATAATATAGTGACACAACAAATTTATACGGTAATACTTTTCACGACCCTAAACTTTTTTATACTACGATGGATGAACAATACAGTGACACGAGCCACCATGTGCTCTACATTGGGTCCATCCCTTGTCTAGATCCCTGAATAAAATCATCAACCTGAACCTGTGATGCATTAGGGTACGTTTGGTATGTAGACTACATGAGACAGGACGAGATACAAAAAAATAGTCCCATGTTTGGCATGTCATGGACAAAAAAAACATGGGACAAGGTGGGATTATTTTTAATTTTAATGGGACAAATCTTGATATTTCTTGTTCCACCAAAAAAGATGGAATAACATGAGACTAAAGTTAATATGACAATATTTTGGTTGATTTGTTGTCATTTTACAATCATTATATGATATAAAATAACACTGAACAACATTTAGGGGAAATATGGTCATTTTAATAGTTTTGTCCTGTCCTAGTCGTACCAAACATAGGACAGACAATTAGTCTTGTCTCGTCCTGTCTCATCCAGTCTGCGTACCAAACACTACCTTAAGGACCTGAGTTCTTGTAAAATGCAACCACGAGGATCTCGTTGTATAAATTCAAAGTTTAGGGGCTTTTGTTGCCAAAACCCCAAACCTCTAAAAAATAAACACGCGGATCTAATAGAGGGTCCGACCCGAACCGATGAGTAAGTATAAAAGCGCCATATCGTCCCCATTTCCAATCATTCGGGCCATTTGATACCTTTTCTCTCGACCCGCTAGAAACCCTACCCTCTTTCCTCTCTGAGACTGCGAAAACCGGCGACTATTCGAAACCCTAATCACATCTCTCCTTCTCTCTCGAACAACAATAATCGACGGTGGACGGCGGCTGCCTCCATCTCGATCTCTTGATACGGTGCACGCCGGCGACTCCTCGACGATACAACCCGAGGTCACGACCTCAGGCCGTAACCCTAGCGCATCTGTTCTTCTTTCACTTTCGAACAACAACGATCGCCGGTGGCTGCGTCCATCTCGATCTCTTGACACGGTGAACACCGGCGACTCTTGCCGATCCATCCCGATGTTCACCGGAACTGGATGACCTCCGGCCTAACCCTAACAGCATCTGTTCTTCTCTCTCTCTTGAACAACAACGATCGACGGTGGACGGTGTCTTCCTCTATGTCGATCTCTTGACACGGCGAACACCGGCCATTGCAACTGGCCGAGCTCTGGCTCTATTCCTATCTCTCGAACAACAACTATCGTATGGTGGCTGCATCCATCTCGATCCAGGCCATCGACAAGCGCCACCGATTTTCCGAACATGAAAGGCTACTCTACGAGTTCTGTTTCTATTCAATAATCACTCCGATTTCTGGTTTTATTAACCCGGTGCTACTGGCCCATTCAGGTCTCAACGAAGCCAGCAATGGGGATGGAAGGAGAAACACTAACAGTGCAGGAAATCAAAGATTAGACAGTGAATTAATCACTGTCGATATTATTAACCCAAGTATTAAGGTTAAAAGGCTAATACACCCAGAGGATTGTCTAGTCAAATAGATATATTCAACAACAAAACAAAACAAGAGGATTAAGAGATATTGTGTCTATAACTATAACGTAATCATGTCAAATTCTTTTAGGGGCTGTTTATTAAACATTTATTAGGTAATCACTTATCGGTAAAATTTACTACTATTATTTACTTACCGGGTAAGATTTTAGTCAACCAAAACGGTATCGTATGCAATATTTTACACGGTAAGTGCTTATCGTGGTAAGAGTCGTCGTCTTCACTTATCGGGTAAGACTCTTGATTCTTGTCAAGCTCTTATCGGGTAAGATTCTTGGTTTTTACCATATTCATCTGGTAAGAGAATGTGACTTGGTGTTCACTTACAGAGCAAGTGTTTGGTATATGGTCCCTTAGCTGACTAATCTCTTGAATAACTTTACAAGTTGTTTAGAGATTATAAATTGAAGAAGAATTTATCAGTCTTACTAAAGTAGGATTTCACTATTCTTTTTATGTAAGATGGATTTTGAAAGTTACCTTACACGACGTGAAACTGGGAACAACTGCTGTAACATCTTCCATTTGCCTCCGTTGGCCAATGACGGATTTAAACCCCCACGTCACTTCCTTGCTACTATCGGCCGGTGTCTGTTCCTCCGTCAACTTCAACGGTACCACCTATGCCGCAAGAATCTTGCCGGAGGAGTTGGAGGTTATGGAGAGATTGTTAGAATCGTTATCATCGCTTTTTTAGAATACAGACGACTGCATTAAACTCCTTGACGATATCGTTAACAAGTACAATGGTGTCGTTAAAATACGAAAACATCGATGCTGACGTTTCTAGCAATTTCTCCATAGCCATCTACTCCTCCCGGCGAGTTTCTTGTGGCAACGTGGGGCCGCTTAAGTTGGTGGAGGAACAACCACCACTGGAAGACGAAGTCTGGAGGAGCAAGGGAGCGGCGTGAGGGTTTAAATCCGTCATCGGTTGCTTGAGGGAAATAGTGGATGTCGTAGCAATTGTTTCGGGATTCATCATGCACACACATATGTTCACTTTGTAGGACTAGGATGCACCACTCATTCAGTTCTTTGATGGCAGTCCAAAATCCACCATGATCATTGTAAACACTGAAGAAATGAATTGGTGGCAAGATTTCAAGTGAGGTTCTTGAAACAATGTACAATCTTCCACGTGATCGAACGTATGCGACATGAATCCTGGAACAAACAACTGCTACAACATCTTTCATTTCCCTCTGTCGATTTAAACCCCCACACCACTCCCTTGCTCCTCCCGACTCCGCCTTCCACTCCACCGTCGGTTATTCTTCCACCAAGTTAAGCGGCACCATGGTTGTCGCAAGATTCTCACCGTACGAGTTGATGGTTATGGAGTAAGCGCTAGAAATGTTATCATCGTTTTTTTCAGAATATAGGCGAATCCGTTGAACTCTTTGACGATATCGTTAATGAGTAAAACGATGCAGTTAAAATACAGAAGCATCGATGATGACGTTTCCAGAAGCTTCTTCATAACCATCAAGTCATCCGGTGAGATTCTTGTGGCAGGGATGGTGCCGCTTGACTTGGTGGAGGAACAAGCACCAGGGGAAGGCGGAGTCGCGGAGTCTGGTGGAGCAAAGCAGTGGTGTGGGGGTTTGAATCCGTCATCACTCGACGGAGAGAAACGGAGGATCTTGTAGCAGTAGTAGTTCTGGGATCCATTGCGCACATGGCAGAACTTTCTTTTGAAAACCCATAAAACTGTGATGATTTTGAGAACTAGTGCGTCATATGCTATTTTAATTAAAACTTAGATTTAGAATATCGATGAATATATATTTGTTTCACAATGTGTTTGTTACACATGTATTTGTTTCATGACGTAAACATTTTTAGCATTTTTGTGCAACATAAGTTACACGCTAATTTTTTTTTTAAATTGTGAACTGCATACATATAAAGCAAACACAATATGACACAAATACATGTCCATCAATTCCTTAAATGCTAGTCTTTTACGTGTTTCTCACAATAACAAAATTGGTTTTATAGGATATCTAAAATGTCTAAGCGTTATAATAAATATTTTAAAAGACTTAAATAGTCTTATTTAAAAGTGTCACTATAGGTTTATAAGACGGTTTTAGGTATTTTAACAGGTTTTTTGAGACGCTTTCGAAATAAAATGTTTTATTAGCTATTTTATGTCGGTATTTGAAAAATTGTCCTATAAACACAAGTGTTCAATAAAAAGACGAGTTTATAGAACATTTCTCACAAGCGTCATAGAATAGATAATACGACATTTTATTTTAAAGTCATTTTAAAAACCTTGCTCAAATGCCTAAAAGCGTCTTATAAACCTATTGTAACGCTTTATAGTTTGGTCCTGAAAACTTAAGTTCTATAAAGTATTCTTCTGTTAGGACACTTACAAATTAGACGCGTCCTATAAATCTAATATTTGGTTGATTTTGAGGGGAATTTTTTGGGTGTTTGGTTGTTTTCAATACTTTTTCGCATTTTAGTTCAATTTTGGGGTCGATTTTCGGTATATTAGTTGACTTCGAAAGACTTTTTCGGGTTTTTTTTTTTGATTTTGATCGGACTTTTTTCGATTTTTTTGAATACATGTCCTTTTCTTTAACAAGAACACCGGCAACAACAACATCATTGTGATCGACAGATTATTGATCAAACCAAGTAAAAGTTAGGAATGATCTTGTTTACGAGTCGACAAGCTTTCCGTCATTCAGATTCTTCATCGAGATATCGACTTGTTCTTCTCGATCGTGCATGTTGTTTCTTTTTCTTTGATTTTAGGTTGACTATGAATACCGACATGTTATCAGAGCC